GGGAATGGGGTTGGGAATTCGAGAATGGGGTTGGGAATTTGGGAATGGGGTTGGGAATCAGGGAATGGGGTTGGGAATCAGGGAATGGCGCTGGGAATGCGGGAATGGGGTTGGGAATGCGGGAATGGGGGTGGGAATTCGGGAATGGGAGGATGAGGAGGGAGCACCTCGGAGCGCCGGCCGGAGTCGGGGGCGTTGATGTTGCTCAGGTTCTGCTCGATGGTTTTGAAGTTTTGTTTCTTCTTGGGTTGGGGCTTGGTGGGGGCTTGAGGGTTTGGGCTGGATCCTGGAAAAAGGAGAAATTCCATGGGAATCCAGCTGGAAAAGTCCAGGGGAGGGAGGAGAACGGGAATGGGGAGGATGGATCGAAGTGGGAATGGGAATTCTGGGGTTGGGATTGGCCGGGGTGAGCAGCGCTCTGTGGGGATTTAGTGATCCTGTCTGGCAAAAATTGATCCTGTTCGATCCCAAAATGCCATTGTTTGATCCCAAACTTCCCCTGTTTGATCCCAAACTCTCCTGTTCCATCCCAAACTGATCCTGTTTGATCCCAAACTGATCCTGTTTGATCCCAAATTGATCCTGTTTGATCCCAAACTTCCCCTGTTTGATCCCAAACTCTTCTTCCCATCCCAAACTGCTCCTGTTCCATCCCAAACTCTCCTGTTCCATCCCAAACTGCTCCTGTTCCATCCCAAATTTCCCCTGTTCCATCCCAAATTTCCCCTGTCCCATCCCAAACTCCTCCTGTTTGATCCCAAACTGATCCTGTTTGATCCCAAACTCTTCTTCCCATCCCAAACTGATCCTGTTCCATCCCAAACTGCTCCTGTTTGATCCCAAACTTCCCCTGTTTGATCCCAAACTCTCCTGTCCCATCCCAAACTCTCCTGTCCCATCCCAAACTGCTCCTGCATTCCACAAGAACCAACCTGGAGAATCTCCCAACCCTCGGAGAATTCACCCCAAAACCCGAAACAGCGCCGAGCCTCCTCCCAGTGCCGGGAGAACCAACCTGGAGAATCTCCCAACCCTCGGAGAATTCACCCCAAAACCCGAAACAGCGCCGAGCCTCCTCCCAGTGCCGGGGTGGGGAAAGCTGGGAAATTCCCGGGATTCTGGAGAGGAAAAGAGGGAATTCTCACCTTCCCCGGGGCTGTGTGGCTCCCTGGCAGGGGCGGGCTCCTTGCCAAGGTGGCCCAGGACCCTGAAGGTGTCGGCGTGGACGGAATCCACGCGCACGGCGTAGATTTTGGCGCTGGCGTCCAAAGTCCCGGCTGCCACCTGCGGCGGGAACAGGGAATTGGCAGCTGGAAAAGGGAAATCTCCGCGGGAAATGAGGTCCTGAGTGTTCTGATTCCCGAGGAAAATCGTGGGGAGCACCGGGAATGGTGTGGGATCCTCACAAAGGGGGGTTTTTTCACTGTAGTTTGAATTTTTTTGGGTTTTTTTTTTTTGGGGATGGTAGTTGGAAATTCTTTAGGAATTGTTGGGTTTGGCAAGGGGGAGAAGAGGGAAGGGAAGGGAAAAGGGAAGGGAAAAGGAAGGGAAAAGGGAAAAGGAAAAAGGAAAAAGGAAAAAGGAAAAAGGAAAAAGGAAAAAGGAAAAAGGAAAAAGGAAAAGAAAAAGAAAAAAAGGAAAGGAAAAGGGGAAGGGGAAAAGGGGAAGGGGAAAAGGAAAGGAAAAAGGGAAGGAAAAAGGGAAGGAAAAAGGGAAGGAAAAAGGGAAGGAAAAAGGGAAGGAAAAAGGAAAGGGAAAAAGGAAAAAGGAAAAAGGAAAAAGGAAAGGGAAAAAGGAAAGGGAAAAAGGAAAGGGAAAAAGGAAAGGGAAAAAGGAAAGGGAAAAAGGAAAGGGAAAAAGGAAAGGAAAAGGAAAGGGAAAGGGAAAGGGAAAAGAAAAAGAAAAGTCTCCTCTCCTTCCTCAGGATCCCCCCCTTGGGATCATCCCAAAGCAGGAAGAGGTGAAGGGTGTGAAATTCCAAACACCTTTTCCAAGCCCAGGAAATCCAAGAACACCCAGAGCTCTCCCAGCCTTCCCTCAGGAGCTCCTGGGAGCCACATCACATCTCACATTAATTAATCCCGGGGTTAATTAGAGCTGGGAACAAAGCGGGGACCCCTCTGACCTGGAAGTTGGTGAGCTCCGAGTTCTTCTGCTTGAGGATGTCGGTCATGTAATCGATGAGGTGAAGCCCAAAGGCGTTTTTGGTGGTGATTTTCTGCAACAAAACAAAGTTGGGAGCTTTTCCCTGGCCAGGAACACCCTGGGGGACACAGGGGAACAGCCCGGGATGGGAATTGGGAGAGGTGGGAAGAGAAATGTCTGGAATTTAACAGGGAATTCTCTGGAATCCAGCAGGGAATTGTCTGGAATTTAACAGGGAATTCTCTGGAATCCAGCAGGGAATTGTCTCAGGGGGATTTTACCCCAAGCTCAGGGGGATTTTACCCCAAGCTCAGGGGGATTTTACCCCCAGCTCAGGGGGATTTTACCCCAAGCTCAGGGGGATTTTAACCCAAGCTCAGGGGGATTTTAACCCAAGCTCAGGGGGATTTTACCCCCAGCTCAGGGGGATTTTACCCCCAGCTCAGGGGGATTTTACCCCCCAGCTCAGGGGGATTTTACCCCCCAGCTCAGGGGGATTTTACCCCGCTCAGGACTCACGTTCTCGGCGGAGAGTTTGATGCAGGTGCTGTAGTGCTCTGAGATCTGCGCGTTGCTCCACTGAGGCAGCGGCGGCTGCCAGCCCTCGGGCCTGGGGGACAGGAGGGGTCGGTACCGGGGCTTCATTCCCGGTGTTCCCATCATCCCGGTACCGGCTGGGTCAGTACCGGGGATCCCCCCTCAGCCCGGTACCGGGGCTCCATTCCCGGTGTTCCCCTCAGCCCAGTCCCAGCTGGGTCGGTACCGGGGCTCCCCCCTCAGCCCGGTACCGGGGCTCCATTCCTGGTGTCCCCCTCAGCCCGGTGTCCCCCTCAGCCCGGGCCCGGCTGGGTCGGTACCGGGGCTCTCCCTTCATCCCGGTACCGGGACTCCATTCCCGGTGTTCCCCTCAGCCCAGTCCCGGCTGGGTCGGTACCGGGGCTCCATTCCCGGTGCCCCCCTCAGCCCAGTCCCGGCTGGGTCGGTACCGGGGCTCCCCCCTCATCCTCGTCCCGCGCACCGGCCCTACCTAAGCGAGGGGGAACCGAGACCCTGCAGCGACGAATCCACT